TCCATTTTCTTTTCATGTGTAAGTAGTTCACCATTTCTGTTTCAAAACGCAGGAGATGCATGTTACTACTTTTTAATTTGCTGTCTTTGCTGATTCTTACTTGAACTAAGTGCTAAACTTTGATTTATATTTATTTACATCTGGTAGATATATATTTGTCATATATTCATATATAACCAATATAAAGGGTTTTTATATGTATACATCTTTTTATATACATTTATATTAATTTTCCTGCCTAACTTTACTACTTGAGATATATATTTATATCTCAAATAGTAATGCTAGGCAGGAAAATAAAGTCCTTTTTGCTCATGTGCCTTACAGTAATAATGCTCTCCTGAAGCATTAGGTCAGCTCTACTATGGCAAACAAAGCTAAAAATAATACTTGAGAAAAATATGGATTGAAGTAAAACGAGCACGAGCAGCAGCCACTAGATGGCAAGACAGGCTCACGTTACTTTGCAGGGCTGGGTTTGGGCTGTTGTTTTTTTTTTTTCCCTTTATATAAGAGGAATATGTAACATTTGTATTTCAAACATGGTGTCGACACTTCTCTCCCATGCCATTCCAAGTTTATCTGGTGATCTGAAGTTGGTGAACGAAGCCAACCACTTGAAAAGCCCTTTAGAAAACACAGGCACCACGGAAATAATGTTTAGTGGTAAGTTGAACTGGAAGAGATTTTAACAAATGTGCTGAAAAAAGTAATGTGTTTAAAAGAAAGGGCACTTCACTTATGTGTGAAAAGGTACAGACAAGTGTTAGAATTTGACTTTTAAGAGAATTAGCAAATTAAACAAATGAACTGTCAATTGTAGAACAACCTGCCTCCCCCACAACGCCCAGCAGGGTCTCCCAGGCGAGTGCCCCTAAAGCCACACACACTCCTCACACAGCCAAACTTTGGACAGCCAGAGAACAGAGGGGCAGAAGATAACTAGGGTTTAACTGAACACACATTTATTGCAGTGCAGAAGCAGCAGCCGGGGGCAGGCTCTGGGCAGGGCTGGGTGGCACTAACTTGGAGAACCAGTGGAGGTGCCCCTGCCCATGGCTGGTTTGGAACACAAGTGGTTTTAAGGTAACTTCCAAACCATTCCATGCTGCCCTGTTTTAAACTTTGCATTTAGGAGTGCTAAAACTGGAAATTCAGCTAAAAGCCAAATAAAATCCTGTGAAATAGATAGTTTAGATTCTGTTTAGAAACCCCAAACACCTCAATGAACACACACTCCCAAACTTGCCTCTAGCCTCTGCTCATTTGCTTACTAATACCAACACTGTCCACAAGGATCAAATGGTCTGCAAAACCACAAATATAGCATCTCTAAAACTTTTTAGCTACCTTAAAATATCAGTGAAGAGCAGGATGGAAATGGTCCTCAGTACCTGAAGAGCAGCAGCTGCACCTGCAAGACTGGATGTGGAAACCTGAAGGTCTCTGAATTCTATGCCCTGAACCTTTGATCACAAGTGGAAGATTTAACTCACTGTAAATGAGTTTGTAAGAGCCTTGTATAAAGCTGTGGCTGTTGACATTATATACATCCACTAACATTAGACCCAAAGGTAATTATTTATTATTTATGATTACTCAGTCTTTGAGTTGCTCAGTTACTATGTCAGGGTCAGAGAAGGCTCCAGAACCAAGGACAAAGAGCAGGTCACGCTGACATCCATGACTGGCCACATGAAGAAACTAATAAATGATGTGGGACTAAAAATGTCCAAAAATTATTCAGAAAATGTCCCAAATGACTTAATTTTCTTGTCACAGCAGCTAAGTGCCTTCCTCACACCTTAGCTCCATGTCCAGGATGTTATAGATGGGACAGCTGGGAAAGGATGAGGTATTTCCAGACTCAGGCTGGGTTTGGTTGGGCATTTCAGACATGTATAAATAAGTTAATCTCACCTCTATGCAATCTAGTATGATTTCATGACTTCTGCTGCCCAAAGCAGCTATTTGGGTTATACTATTTGGAGTTGAAGAGTCCTGTATGGCACAACTCTTGTGCTCCACACATTCAATTGCTTCTGCTAATGAGCCAAGAGCAGGTTCAGTTTCTGTTTCACAGAGTTATTTCCAGAGTACCACTACTGCTCGAACTGAGAGAAGATGAAGACAAGAAATATGTGTCTATGAACTTACATTCAAACACAAACACACCAGAGAGGAAACTGAGGTACATGCTAACTCCACATAAACACTGACTTTTCAAATTTCACTTTTGACACTGCAAACAATTTCTCTTAAAAATGAAAAAAACCCACAAACAAACAAAACCCCAAAACCTCATTTATTTGATGACAATAGCTGTGTACAACCCCACCACCCTCCCTGCACTGTGCCACTTTTCTGAACAGTCAGCACTGCAGTGACCATCACCCTCACCTGAACTAAAGTATTAAAGTACAGCTACAGAGAGATACAAGACTAATTCAGCTGCTGGCTGCAGAACCTCCACCTCTGCTGTCCAGGCATGAAGTGCCACAGGTTTCTAATGAACATCAGTGCTAACGGTCTACCTGCATGAGAAAATCTCATTTTACACAGAGCAGAGTTTTAACACATCCTGTCTGAGAAACAACAATTCTCCTGTATTTCTCTACCTCCACGTGCTGCACTAGCAGAGTGCATTATTTTTTAAAAATAAAATATATTCCTTTTCTTCTATAAAAAAATAAGAGTCTCAAAAATCATGGTAGAGGTCAGCAGGACTAACCAAAAGTGACGCCTACTGCTGTTTCTTCACTCCCAGCACATTTCCCTCCCTGGACTGTGACACTCCCCTGCTCTGGTAAGAGCCCACTGCAGCAGCAATGATCCCACCTTGCTTACATCCCTGTGAGGGCTCAGTGCCCACCCAAAACACGAGTGCAAGAGGGAGGAAATGACTTTACATCATCTGTGACCCCTGAGCTCTGCAAGCAAAGCTGGCAGGTGCTGGCTGTCAGCAGCTTCAGCTCAGCCCAACCCAAACAACTCCTGAAAGCAACAACAGGCACGCTTAACATTCCAGGGTGACCTTCCAGATAAAGTTCAGGCTGAGCCAATTGAAATGTTACGAGGCTTTTGTGGAGCAAAGTCTCAGTGCACTAAATACAGACACAAACACCCCTCTCCTGCTCTGCCCATGTGCACTGACTCTGGAGAACAAATTGTTTGCTGTCATAATCTGGGAGTGAGGGGCAGGTCTCAGCTCCACAGAATGAGGGCTGCCAGCTCTCAGACCAAGACAGATGAGCTTGTTCTCTGTGGTTTGTTCTACTCTGGATCAGAGGAATTGCAGGAGAGGATGGAGAAACCTGTCCAGGTAAAGGCCTACAGAACAGCAGCACCCATGAAGGAAGGATGAAGTTTTCACCATGAGTTCCCCTTTCTTGCCTGTGGTTTCACCTGTGTTTCACAGCAGCAGACGATGCCCCTCCATTTTCCAGTTTCACACGTGGAGGCTCTGTCTGCCAGCACAGTTCCTCGTCCTGGGGCGCGCTGACCTTGGTCAGGCTGAGGTCTGATTACGGTTTCAGAGCCTGGCACCCAGTGCTGCCTGACAACACCCACGGCAGCACAGAGCTGTCTGCCCTCACAGCCTCACACACCTCAGCCTCCCACCGGGATGCAACCCTCTGGATTTTGGCTTAGCTCCCCTTGCTGGGACTGCTCCCAAACACATCAACGCACTCACTACCACTCCTGATTTCCAAACTTATTCTTAAGCACACAGCTGCAGCAAGAATTAATAATGTCTTGGAAAATGCTCCTTTTCACTCTCAGGCCTTGTAAAAAGAGCAGGATGATGTCGTGGCTTCAAGTCAGACACTGGCATACAATGAGATTTTACCTGCACTCAACTTTCCATCAGATTGCCTTTCTTACATCTTCAAAGATCTGGAGTGGCTAGAAGTCTATTCACACTTCTAAAAACAAAACTCCCACATCCTCCTTCTGCAAAACTGTTAAAATAGTTACTCTCTCCTCTGTGCTTCACACACTTGTCCTATCTGTAACCCTTCCCCATCTTAGTAGTCATCACAGACAATAACAAAAAAGTTAATTCCTCTGACATCACAACTGAAGTGGGAGGCTGAAGTTAAAAAAAAAAAAGTGAAATATTGATATAATCTAAAAATTAAGACAAAAATTATGCGCAAAAGAGCCTACCTAACCAGCTGCTCAAAGCACTAAAAGCAGAAATAAATTAATTAATGAGTTCTGCCAGCTCCCGAGAATTTTGTGACTGGCAGCAGCCAGATATTTTCCACTTCACTTCCAAGTGTCTTTTCATTCATGTATTACAAATCAAGCCTCAGTTTGCCAGTGTGGAGGAAAATCAGTGAGTTTTGGTGAGGAGGAGATGTAAACCCAGCCTGGGAGCAGTGCAGAGTCAGGTCACAAATACCACGCTGGGCTTGCACTAAAATGTCATTTCTTCCACCATCATATCTGTACTGTTACTGCCCAAAGTGCTACAAGGACGTTCAGCTCACATAGGACAAACCTGAGCAGAAGCAGCACATGGTCTAAATCCCTGACTCAACTTTTTTAGGCACTGGGGTTGAGACCTTCGAGGTGCAGGGAATGCTCAGTGGGACATTCTGCATTGCCCAGGCTGAATTCCTGCAGAAGCTCAGGAATCTGGCCCACGGCTTTGGCACAGAGCTGAACACAACCAACAACATTCTGACTTTAAAATCTCCACGGAATGTTATGTATATTACCATAAGAAATTATTTTAATATTGCATTTTTTGATCTCTGCTAAAACCTGGCACCATTTCTTGTTCTGTGCTGTACTACTTCATAAATTAAATACTCATCAGTCAGGTCCCTTCCTTCTCACCTGTCCACTTCTGTTTAAAAATAAACTCTCAAATATTGCACCACACAGTGAGACATAGTTCAGAACAGGACCTTTTCTACAGACTTGCAAACAGTATTACAGAGGATTTTCTATCCTAAAATTCCTGTAATCATAATTTTTTTTCTGAATACCTGAAAAAACCCCGGTGGTACTGGACCTACTGGCATGCCATCTCCTGGGGGAATGTTTCCTAGCACTGGGCTGGGAGCTGCTGCAGCACTCTGAAAAGAACAAAGGGAGAATAAACCTTTGTCATTGCATGGTAGGCATTAAACCCCCCCAAAAAAAAAACCCCAAACCTGACCAAAGTGCAGAAAGTAATTCCCTGGATATGTCATTATGCCATTGTTTCATCGGAAGGTAAATTAAAATTGTTTAGCCTTTTGTCTACAAGTACCATGATTTGTTGAAATAACAAATACATGTTGAGGGGAAGGGTGCCAGAGATTGCACAGGCCAAACAGACAAAGCCTGACTGAATTTAGGAAATGTTGTATCTGAGTGTCTCTACATGCACCAATGTGAATGTAACTTGCACACTTCTTGTCTTATGTGTATGAACAGTCTCGCACATGCACAAGGATATACACAGAGCATAAAAAAATTAATTTATGCATTTTATCAGCAATTTCTAAGCACTTTAAAGATAATTTCAACAGCCTGTAATATTTTTCCAGAACAACAACAAGCTTCAAAACAGGGCTCTGTTATAAACAGTACAAGAAGGGATACACATGATTCTGCCGATAATGCTCAAGATTTTACCAACCCCAAAAATAACCACCATGACAAATTAGAAGAATTCAGGTTATGTTTTTGGAAGGGAAAAGAAAAAAGGGATTTCTAAGAAGTGAATCAGAGGATGAAATTAGTTACCTTTGCAAATCCTTCAGCTGGAATAAGCGAGTAAAGAATATTGCTCCTGGCAATTTACATGCAGGAGATTGTCACAGAAAAGAGAAGCCAAACTGCTTCTGCTGTCATGTGTTGGAGCCTCAATTACTTTTAATTTCTAGCATTCTTCCTTCCTACAATGTGTTTCTGTACAGCATGAGGCTGAATCACCTATAAATGCTCAAAATATTGTGTGACAGTACTGGAGCACACAGAATGCTCCCAGAGCCACTGGCAGGTTACTAATGACCTGCCAAAGCCTGCCCTGCAAAACACACATATATTAAATTATCACCCTATTTATTGTGCACTCACACTCGATACCCTAAAGATGCAGATCTGGAAATTGCATTTCCAGGTGTTTGGCACAATACCTAGGAAAGAAGGAATAATGCTGGAAATATCTGAAAACTGGCACAAAAGGAGGAATGACCTTTTTCAACCAAGCAGAAAGAAACATTCAGTTAATCACCACCGATTTCTTCATGGCTTAAGCTGTGTTTTAGAATCAAAGTTCTGAACAACTAGCAGTAACATTTTTAGCATCCAAGCTCAATGCTCTTTGGAACAGTCTGGAACGTACCACTGAAATATAAAGTCTGCAAAAGATGCTGGCTTTCAAAACGAGTGCAAGGCTTTGATTCAAGAAAAAATGCTCTAATAAAGGGTATTATCTATGCAAGGATCTGTGCTAAAACACTGTAGAATTGCTGCTGACAGGGAAAGCCAGCCAGGTGAGCTGGATGCAGCAAACACTTTGGAATTATACCCACAAATCATGCAGGGAGAGGCTACCACAAAGCAGCCAGAGCAGCTGGGGAAGCTGTGGCCAAAAAAGGTGGTGCTCTGCCAGCTACTGCCACTCATATCAAATAATTATTTTTGTATCATCTCCATATCCAAAGGAAAACAGGAAAAAAAGCTGTCGGGTTTGTTGTTGTTTGGAGTTTTTTTAAAGGAAATATGAGCTCTTTAAGCATCAATGTGCAATAAACCCATGGCAGGCACAGTCTGAGTGGAGCATGTTGGATGCACTAATACAGGTACAGGTTTTCTGGATGAAGGATGACAACAGCAGCACTACTGATGGAGAAAATCGATGATGTTAAAAGCCTGAGCATCTCCAAATGCCCCACAGAGCCTGAGCTGCAGTGGCTGACCAAGGAGGAGCAGCCCATTAAAGGGGCACTGCTGGGCTTTATTACAGCACCACCATCCCCCAGTGCCCTGGGCTGGGCCATGGGATGTGTCACAGGGCAGGGAACAGCCCCTCGGAATGAAGAGCTCCCACAGGGATACAGCACCCTGCTGCTGAGAGCTCATGCTCTTTCCCACTTTAAAAATTATTCTTTAAAAAAAACCCAGCAAATTTAGTTAAAAAATAGAGTGGCGGGGGGAAATGAACGACTACTCCAGACTGAAGAGAGAAAAGGATTAAAGTTATAACTGTTAGCCATTTGCTGGCCTAAAAAGGCTTTGTAAGAAATAGACCTAAAAATAACATTTTCATAATTGTCTCACAGAGGTGGGGGTTTCCCTGTTTCTACATCTCCCCTGCACTGACACCAGAGGAACCCAGCCCCGCTCCTGGTGAATCACCAGGAACTGGCAGGGAGGGACTGGACGTGCTGGGTTTGATTTTGAGTGGATTTAGTGGATTTTCAGTGCCTGAGGCTCGATGGCTGTCCCAGGGCACAGCAGCTGTGCAAAGCCCCTGCCCTGCCCCTGTGAGAGGAGCGAGGGAGGACTCAGGCTCTGGTGGCCACAGCAGCAGGGCAGTGCTGCTGGCAGCTGCAGTGCCATCCCATAACCCTACAAATTCTGCAGTTACACTCCCAGGTGTTACAGAAACCTCCATTTCTACCCTTCATTATGCAATGCACTGTTATTGTTGTTTTTGTTTTTCTTTTCTTCTGTTTTCATGTTTGTTTGGTATTTTCTTCCCTGATGGGCAATGAAGTCCCAAAGCCAGAAATAAAGTATTTTCAGTGTTTTGGGTGTATTACATTTTCTAGCTTGTGCTAAATAATGAATCTTTTAAGAACTTCTACCAGGTAGATCAATAAACAAACCTGCAACTGCTGCATGGAAATATTCTTATTTATTCTATCCTGATGAATTATTCATTCTTTTTCCACAGTCCCATAGCAAACCATGGCCTCCTTTTGCATGCCTTACATGTTGTTCATCATTTATACTTCCATTAGTTTGACATTTTAAATATTTGCAAATTGCTTTCCCTGCTTATCACAAAAAGATGAAATCAGAAAATTTAGATGGTATAAACTCCTTGTATAGTAGCTTACCTCCTTAAAAATTGAAATCTGTATTTGTTTTTGTAGCTAAAATAATGAATTTATACTAATGAATTTATACTAATTTACAATTATTAATTAAAACTGTGTACTTGAGTGAAAGTTATTATGGTCATTCCTTCTCTACCCAAGCTACTCTTGGCAATGCAAAACCAGATTATTATAGTAACTAATAAAACTAGCTATGGTTTAGGATGGATTTTATAATAAAGAAATCCCAAAGTAAATAAAACGTAAAGAAAAATCATTTAGCTATTCTACTAGTACAGGATCTGAAGTATAAAAATCCAGAGATAAACCTGCAATGCTCATTTTTTGAGGCCATCCCAAGAAGTGGCTGATGAGGGAAGCTTACAAACAATTTCACTGGAAACAAAAAAATGCTACAAAGAAATTACTTGACTTTATAAAAATCCTCACCTGGCTCCTCCTTCACCAAGACATTCAACTTCAGGTATTTTACTTTCACTAAAACGTCTGTATTTTTATCCAAAGTTTACCCCATGTTACTAAATTTGTCCACTCAGGGTAAGTTCCGTTTTTAAGAAGTCTCACTGATGGGAAATGATGTAATTTACTGGATGATGGAGGGGAGGAGTTGGACCCTACAAATAAAAGTGTTAGACACCAAATTCCCTCATCACCTCACCCTCCTCCACATCACACCTAAATCTACTCTTATCTTAGGAATACAATATTTTCATATATTCATACAAAAGCATGGCTTCTCCAGATAAAGATGTTCTGCATGGATGGCACAGACACAATCAGCTGAGCTAGAGCAGAAAGGATCAACATCTCGGGATGTTTTTATAAACACTGCTACTGGGTTAATGAAACAAATTCAACAGTGAGTATGGCATGTGAAGGACAATGCAGGAAACCACAACCACATCTGAAATCCTGGTGAGAGCACCACAGTCAGAAGGAAAAGCAGAAAACTTAAACAATTGCTGCTTCTTTTTTTTGTTCTTTTCTGGGGACAGGGGATAAATAGCTGGTACATTAACTTAGGAAATTATGGGAAGTAAGGAATTTAAATGTAGCTGTAGGTTGTTTGGGTGTTGTTTTTTTGGGTTTTTTTTTGGAAAGACAAATGATGGATGATTACTATTTCCAGTGATATTTACCACATGTTTAATTTCTGGTCATTGAGAGCTTTAAAGTAGAAGACATACTGCAGCCAGTACCATAAAAAAATACCGAATTTCCTTTTGTAAACACTTCAGCTTGCAACTTGCCACATCTTTCTAAGACATCAGCTGGCTCCCATAACAGACTTTCCCTTTTTGTACCCATCACAAATTAAAGAAGAATTAAAGGAACTACATTGATTAACCACAAGCAACCTCCTTGTTTTCTCCAAGATGGAACATAAAGCTACTCATCACTCTGAACAACATAATAAAATTCCAAAACTCCCAATACTTTAAATAACTCTCTGTGCCTTTTACAAAGCCTTTGAAAATATAGCTGTGCACTAAGAAGCCAAAACCCCCAGACTGAGCAGCCTCGGTTTACTCAACAGATTGGAAGGTCATGCCCAAAAAAGGTGGATTCATCCCACTGAAAGAGACAGGTAATTTGAAAGATCTGGATCATGAGACCTAATTAAACCCTGGCGTAGTTCCACTGATATATATTTGTCTAAACTGCTTAATTTCTGTTGTGTAACAGGGAGGCATTCACATGACCGTACGTACAACTCTGAGAACTGCAATTGAGGAAGGTCATTCCTTACAAGTTCTCAGTTTTTCTCCAATCCCAATTCCCTGTGGTTTCATCTGGTATTTCATTTCTTATTTATGGGTAATAAATAATAAAATAATAAATAAATAAATAAATAAATAAAATAAATAAATAATAAAAATAATGATGCCATCAATGCAGATGAAAATCACATATAATCCTTTCCTTGGAAACACAAAAAGGGTGGCACCAGCAGATCTGGTCAGTTAGGGAAGAGCAGATCTGTTGATGATGATGATGACAATGAAGGTGTCCTCTGAAAC